TGGGGATAAGTCTATGTATGCATGTATGTATGTATGTATGTACGTATGTATGTATGTATGTATGTATAAATAAATAAATAAATAAATAAATAAATCATTAACCTGGCTAACAGGTGCTGGGCTGATTCCACCCATTAGGAACCATCAGACTTCACCCCCAACATAATAGTGGGTGAAGCTCATCAGATAGGATGCAGCCTGTTGCCAGTTTAAAGTGGAAAACATTTAACATCAGAATTACTAAGAATGACTTTAGGCTGCCTCCGGTGGGAGTTCAGGATGAGATATAACATCATCAGAACATAAAAGAAAAAAGAGATTGTGGGCACATGTTCATGCAAGTTGCAACTGGGAAAAGGCCCTAGATCAAAACCAACCAAGCCATAATATGAACATCTGCCACTTTCTTTTGCTTCCTTGTAGCCTGTTTGCTCATCCCCTCCCCCAGTTGCCTTTCACCTCCTGTATCCTTCTAATAGTTTTAAAAGAGACACCGAGGAAGCGGCATTCGTCCGAGGGAAAAGAACTGTCCACGCTCAAGACACTTACAGTACTGATCTGAGCTCAGTTTAAGTCCTGCGAAGTTGAAACAGGAAGGGCCAAAGTGCTCAACTGCGCCGGGCTGGGAGTGGGAGAAGGGCGATCAGCAGCGGGACTGTATTAAGCCCGAACAGCTGAAGGTGCGTCACTTGAACCCGAGCATCTTACAGCTGGCGGAGATGCTCGCGCTGCGAGAACAAAAGGCGCCGCACGCGCGCCGAGGCGAGACGAGACGAGCAAGACTGAAGTCTACTTGATCTGCACTCCGGCGCGGCTTAATTAAATCTCAACCGGCCCGCTCCAGACAGGCTGGGGGAAAGACGGATCGCGGCGCGGCGGTTACCTGGTTTCTCTTCTCCAGCCTCAGCGGCGATGCTTTACACCAGTCGCTCCTCCGTTGCCCCAGCGTTAAGAGGCAGCCCCGTGCGGAGGCGGCCGAGTTCCAGGGGCCCGTCGGGGCGGAGAGAGGCTGTAGTTTTCGGGGTCTTCGCTGGGGGGCCGAAGGCAGAGAGCAAGCAGGGCGCAGGCGCCGGCCGGTGGCGCTGGGAGAGGCGCTCGGACAGCTTGGCCGCTAAGCGCAGGAAGCTGGCGCGGCTGCGGGTCGCGGGGGAGCTCGCGCGCGTCCCGAGCGGCAGTTCTTCGGCCGGCACCCCGCGCAGGTTCCCCGAATACCAGAACAGCCAGCAGAGCAGCGACAGGAAGATGAGGATCCCCCCGGTCAGCATTAAGAAATCCCGAAGAGAGTGCCCGTCTCTGGACGGGTTCCCCACGCCGCCCGCCAACAGCAAGGCCAGCCCAGCCGCGTCCAGCACCAGCGCGGCCCCCAAGAAGACCGCGCAGCGCCCGTAGCAATTGCGGGCCATGCCCTTCCTGGCGGATCATCCGCTGTCGAGCTGGCTGGCAGGTGATAACCAAAGTCTTCCGCCACGCCCCTTCAGGTGCAAACGGAAGGCCACGCCCCTTCATCTGCCCGTAGGGAGACGAAGCTCGCGCACCCCTCGGAATGCGCTGCCTTCGATCAACAGAGCAGGACCAATCCCACGCGTCTTTTCGAAGAAATACATGATTAAAATTTATAAAAAGAGAGAAGCTGCCGGCCCTGGCAGGAACTGCTGCCAAAGTCCATTGCAGTCTACCAGATTTATACCCCGCCTTTACTTGAAATAACAGTACTATTGTTCGTCGCTGCCTTTATACTAGCCTGTGGAGGTGTCACAATAGTTAGAATACTAGAGATCTGCTGATCCCATCTGAGAGAGAAAGAGCGAGCGAGCGAGAGGAGAGATGGGTGGAAGAACCAGTACTGTACAGTATGGAAAAGAGAAATGAAAACTCTCCTCAAGCTGACTGAAACTCGCCTGTCTCTAACACCCAGGAAAACTTAGGAAATGGGAGTGGAATCGTAAAGAGGACATGATAGAGGTTTGTTTGTCCATGATGTGGAGAAATCAGAAACAAAGAAAGAACTCCCCCTCCCCCCCTTCTGGAGATTTGAGCAGTCTTCCCTAGGTTAATGCCTTTCACAGATATTGGACTTCAACTCCCATAATCCCCAGCCAAAAGACTAGAGCAAGCAAAGTCCATCAGGAAAGCAGCTTGGGAAAGTCTCCTTAGAACTGGTGAGAGTCGTTGGCTAGAAACCCATGCTAGACCCAATGGAACATTTTTTCATCCTGTGTTTTAGTCATGCCATAATGTGGCCAGCAGATGCTAATTGAGAAGCCTTTGAAGGGGTTTACAATGATGATTGCTGCCAACTGCTCTGTGGAATGGATCCCTGGATCCTGCGTGAAAGGACAGGTATTGCACATCCTTTAAGGCTCTCACTAGGCTCCTCCTCCCTCTGCTAGGGAGCACTACTGCCAGTGGCTCTGTAGGAAGGATCATGGAAGGTAGGCAGGCCAAGTCCGTGTCAGAAGCCTCCACAGCTGGACTTTCTCCTCACTGGGCCACCACTATCAACTTTCCAGTATCAAATTTCCCATCCCAGAAATTGCTGTGGTGATTTTAAAAAGTATTTATTCTGTTGTTATTGAAGTAACACTTTGGAAAGAATGTATCTTAGAAGGAGGGATGATGAGGTTGATGGCAATTCCTGGAGAATAAGATTAATGACTTAACAAGTCAGAAGGATTTCTTGAAGGTTCACATTTCTCATTGTTTGGTTCTAGTTACAGAATCTTTCAGCCTTGTTTATTTGAATGAGAAGTACTCTGAATTGCTCTCATGCCCCAACTATGAGCTTCTTGGAACAGGATGTTGATCTAGATTGGATTTAGGATTGAACTACATTGGATAGGGTTAGGATAGCTCATACAATTTTTTTTTTTTTTTAAGAATACTGGTAGCATGGATGGAGTATTAATCATATCCTCTTATTAGCCCTGTGAGGTAGGCAAGGCTGAAACACAGTGGTTGATCCAGATTCAAATAATGAGATTGTGTGTGTGGCTGGATTCATATATCATGCTAAGATAACGTGATTTTCTTGGTTTTGGCTGATCATATCCTATGAATCACTATGGTTTATTCCATCAGATGTGGTTAGTTAAAATAAGTGATGGTCATGCACACTCCAGGTTCGTTCGTTCGTTCGTTCTTTCTCTCTCTCTCTCTCTCTCTCTCTCTCTCTCAAAATAAGGACCTAAAACTAGATGTGTCTGATCCAATAAGGCACAATGACTAGCTGTGAACTGAGCCTGTAATTTCTTTTACCTTATAATCTATTGAAAGTGAAGAAAAGGTGGTCAGGGAGAGAAGAATAATGACGCAATCCACACTTTTGGCATTTTGTATAGCTCTCAGGGATGACTGCATGGGCTGCTAAATGAGTCTTTCCCACTTTATTTTACATACCGCTCCTCAGAACTCATCAGTTCGTTCACACTTCATTCACTCACTGCTTGTGCCACAGACACAAGGTCACACCTTTATGGTGCTCCGTGCTAATTAAGTGAATAACTGCCATTTTGGTTCAGTGCTAACATTGGCCATCAGAGGTTAGATTCCCTCAGGCTACTCATAAATGGTCAGTCAAATGGTCATGAAAATCATCCCTTTGTCATTCTTTAACCATCCTGCTTATGAATCAGATCAAGAGGTGTGGATGGGTAATTAATTCACTTTAATTCAGTTCTGAGTTTTTTTCTTTTATTCGTTTCTGTATTTCTGTTTGAATCAGGCTGTGGCCTGTCCATAACTAAAGGCCAGTTGGATGATGGCAAACCACTAGTTTAATATTCAACAGTGAATTACAGAGAAGTACTTAGCCCTTCCCCTTCATCTTAGGGTGATCCCAATAAAAATTGCTGTTTGCTATTTCCTTAAGCGAGAAGCTTCTATTGCTGCCAATAGAGGAAAAGAGTCATATTAGTCTATGGTGACAAAAAACCCATTGCTTAAACCATTCAGATGCATTATTAATAAGCCACAGCCTATCCTACACAATGACACCACACTTTCTCAGGCATTGGGTGGCAGGCCCACATTTGCATACAGACAATCACCCAACCTCAAGCAGATTCTTGCAAGCAATGTGAAACAACAGGACAATGACACTAACGTGGTAACCAGACTCTGCAACAAACTGAGATGTCTACTTTGCCCCCACATCTATGCCAACAGCACCATCATGGGCCCCAACAAGTACACAAACAAGATTAGAGCAACATGACATGCTCTTCCTTTAATGTGATATATGCCATCACCAGCCAGTAATGCCCCTCTGGATTTTATGTAGGAGAAATGGGATATGCTTTGCGCAAAAGAATTAATGGGCGCAAGTTTGACATCAGGACTCAAAACAAGGGCAAAGCAATATCAGAGCACTTCATTCTCCCACGATACTCTACAGCAGATCTCAGAGTGACTATTTTGGAAAAATGGGGCTTTAACTCTGTCGTTGAGCAAAAGACTGCCGAACTCATAGACATCAAAAGATTTCAGGCAAACACAATGGGTTTTAATACATAACAATTGTTAATTGATAAGGTACTGTTAATCTGTCTCACATGTAGTCTGCATCTACGTAACCAATCTGTCTTCCCCTCCCTCCCCCACTTTAAATCTTATAACAGTCTAGTTACTCTTTGTATCTGATGAAGTGAGCTGCAACTCACAAAAACATATGCCTTTTAATAATATGTGTTAGTCGGAAAAGATGCTACCAGGCTCTTCCTGATTTTTTGTTGCAAATGAGAAGTTAATTACATTTCTACCACTGCGGGAATACAGTGGGTTCCATTCTTTCCACTCTGGATTCCTTCCCCACTTCAGAAAAGTTTAAACTTAAAAAAAAAACTTTTAAAACTAGAGGCTTTCATTGCAATTATACAGTTAATATCCTAATGAAATTTTAGCCCTAAAACTCCAACATTTTCCAGGTCTTTGCTGATGTGGTAGTAGAACTACCTGCATATGACCGTAGGGAAAAGAAGAAATATGTTTCTTCATTTTCTTGGAACAGGAAGGCTGTTGAATTAATAGGACACATTTACCTACGTTTAACTGTGGTTTACAGGATCCTGTTCTGTGGGTTTGTGTAATACACTGAGCCAGACACTAACCACATGGGCTAAGTTCACACAATACATTAGGCTAAAGTGGGGCTGACTAATTTGAGGTCCTGGGGTGTCTGTTCATTAAATAAAGTATGGTTGCACATTGCTCTGCATCAATGAGCTGATGCATTTACCTGACATTTGTATTTAACAAAATGCGAAGTAGATTACCCATTATTGTAATATGGTGATAGGGAATTATGCCTTACCTTTGTACTTTGTGAACTTTCCTAGCAGACAGAAATATCTTCAGTAATGTTTATTGCTGCTTGGCGAAGACTGACACTAACCAGGTAGCACAGGGAAGCCTGAGAGAAATCCTGCTCAGGGCACAGTCTTTGCTGAATTCCAGACAGAGGAGTCTTGAGTGCAGACAGACAAGTCAAGAGAAGTGTTCGTTGACAAGTTGCACCTCTGGACTCTTGGACCTACAAAGCAGGTTAGATTCGGTCAGGACAGAGGAGCTTTCAGTTGCCACCTCGCTAATGGTTTTGCAGAAGCAGTTTTGGTGAGGCTAGAAGAGGTGAAGAAGCTGTTTCTACATTTGCTGTTAGCTGAAAACTGATCCCTTATCCTGCTGTAGCATTTTTCTCTGACTGAGCTTTTCACAGAAGTGTGGGTCTGGGATTAGTTTGTGAGGCAGCCAAACGTTCCCACTGAGCTCCCATTAAGCATTTTCACCTCTCCTATTTTCATGCAGAAGGCCTCAAGCATTTAGCAGGAAAACGCAAAGAACAAGCTTTTCTGGGGCTCTTAAACTTATTTTGAATGACCAAGTCACTTCGGCAACTGTTGAATTTTGGACTATAACTCAGCAAGATCTTTGATTTATGCCAGCCATCCCTAACCTTTGTCTTTCAGAAATGTAAAAAGGGAAAGACTCATGAAATCTGAAAATCGGAAAATGTACAGGTTGGAAATGACCTTGGAGGTCATCCAGGCCAACCTTCTGCCCAGTTCAGAGTTCAGAGTTCCACTAGTGTAGCATCCACAATTAGATTTTTTTTTATGCTGCCTTTATTATTTTTATAAATAACTCAAGGCAGCAAACATACCTAATACTCCTTCCTCCTCCTATTTTCCCCACAACAACCGTATGAGGTGGGTTGAGCTGAGAAACAGTGATTGGCCCAAGGACACCCAGCTGGCTTCATGCCTCAGGTGGAACTAGAACTCACTGTCTCCTGGTTTCTAGCCTGGTGCCTTAACCACTAGACCAAACTGGCTCTCTGTTTAAGAATATCCATGTAGGAGAGTCCACCACCTCCTGAGGCAATTTGTTCTACTGTTGAACAGCTCTTAATTAGGACATTTTTCCTGAAATGTACTTCCTTGTACTT